ATGATAACCTTACATGAATTAGAATGAGAACCTTCCATATATATAACCGTAAATTCTAGAAATTTAATGTAAGAATGAAAAAACCTTAAAAAATTACAAGTGGAAAATAAGAAAAAAAAAGAACCAAAAAAAGCCATGTAGCAAAATGAAGTAGAAGAAGACATATGACAAAAAAAAACATTCATTTATTAGAGAGGATACATCCAATAACGTTCTTATCTTACTCTAAATCTTTTTTAACTACGAAAAAGAACCTTATATAAAACTCTTTTTTACTTGTTTTTTTTATAGATACTAATTAACAAAAACTTTCAAACCATCGTTAAAGGCGTCAAGGCGGCCTAGGCCTGACAATCGTGTCGTGTTCGGGTTGGCGTGTCGCGGGTTGGCGGGTCAAAATATGTCAACCCAAACACGACCCATTTAAATATACAGGTCATGGGTTGGCGGGTCACGGGTTGGTGGGTTTGGAACATAAACTCATATATGACTCACCAACCCATTTATTTATACAGGTTCACAGGTTGGCGGGTTCGTGGGTCAGATTTGGGTTCGTGGGTCAGATTCCATAAATAAAACGGACAATTAAACATGAATAAATTCTTGATGGTTGATGCAAACATATCCAAATTTTAGACACTTAAGTCCTAAACATCCAAATGAAGATTTAAAACATTCATAGAAACATGTTCAAACTAAACATTAATACAAACATAGATAATTCAAATGCTAAAACAATTTATTATATAACACTTATTAAATATTAATGCTTGATACATAAATACATTTAAAAATAAAATAATTTTTTTATTAAAAATATAAACGGGTTGGCGGGTCAACCTGTTTATTTTTTGAGAAACTCATATATGACCCGTTTAATAAATGGGTTGACGTGTTGGCGGGTTAGCAGGTTGGCGGGTTGAAAACTCAACCCAAACCCATTTATTTCGTGTCGTGTCGCGGGTCGTGTCGAGAATTGTCAGCCCTAAGGCGGCCTGATGATCATTTGAGAATTAAATACTTATAAAATAATTTTTTACCACAAGTTTTATTTTAACCGGCTTCAAGTTTTCAACCTTGTGTGTATAATTATGTAAATGGTATATTCATGTTTAGGAACCGGCTTAAGAAAGCATTATTATGCATTTTTTTGGGTTATATCATTAATGAAATATTTAAGTTATTTTAATAACATGTAATTATATAAAAGTTTTATACCATGTATATTAGAACATTGTAATCGGTAAATCATACATACTTATAAAGCTAGCATTTTTTCTTGAATCTCATGCATTTGAAACCCCCTTTTTTAACTTTCTCAAACCACATTCATTTGAAACCCTTTTTTTTTAACTAATGCAACTCAAAAGTTTTCTTAATTATGATTTAACACTCAAAAGTTTTATAAATTATATTATGTTTAATTAGCATTTAGTGAAAAGTTTACTATAAAAAAGGCCAATCTTTTGTGTCTTTTGTGTTATATAAAATCTTACATGTAAGAAGGATCTGAAGATATTGTGATTCAAAAGTTTTCATATAGTTGAAGCATTCACGATCCAAATATGATGATTTGGAAAAATGGGTTATGTCGCATCGATGGTAATTGTAATATGATTTTTTCTTTCAAGCAAAACAAATGAAGCTTTTTCTATTCTTTCTTTATATTCCGTTTCTCATTTAATCTTTATATGTGATTTGTGTGTATTATTCAATCTTGAATGTGACTCTCCAAACATCAATGGTTTGCCTGGAATATCTTTCTGATTCTTCTTTTTTATAGAAAAATATTTTGATTGCAGGTTAGTGAAGAATTGTCATCAAGTTTCTATGGTTGAATGGTGTTAAATGAAGAAAGAAGATTCATAAAATAAATATAGGTTTTTTTGTTTGAGCAAAGTTGACGAATGTTAGTTTTTTCTTTTGATTTAAATGTATGTTTATGTAACATCTTTATTTATATATTCAATCACTCAATGCTCTTATTTATTTGATTGTAGTTTTTCAATTTTGATTATGTTTATTTTCTATTATTTTTTTGTTGGGTTATCCTACACAACATATTTAAAAGACAATATTTAAAAGATAACATAATTTTGAACATTTGATATGTGATTATGATAGACTTATCATGATATGTTCTTCATATGAAAGTAATTTATCCATATTACTATGACAAGAATTACATATGACATTTACGAATATATATATATATATATATATATATATATATATATATATATATATTATGTGATTTGTTTAACATGTATATGCACCTATGTATGTTATACATTTTAATTAAATATCTTTATGTTTAATAATTGAAGGGATTAAAATGATGCATCAAAACCAATTATTTAGACGAATATAATAATAATAATAATAATAATAATAATAATAATAATAATAATAAATATACATTTCCAAGTACCACATTCATTTGAAACTCACACTACAACTCAAGAGTTTTCTAATTTATGTATATTTATTAGTTACAACTCAAGAGTTTTTAACTTATGATTATTAATTAGTAATCACTAATAACTTTTTATTTTCCTTTTTTTTATAAGGTTGTAAAGTTTTGCTCATTAAAAAACATTAATGTATTTGAAGAGATTTGTGATTTAAATATGAAGAGTTAATATAAATGTTATAATAGATGTTTTAGTGTTTTTATGTTATTAAAAGTTATCGTGTTTATTTTTCATATTTTTTATTATTCGTTGTATATATATCTTTTTTAATACAAATGTTATAATAGATGTTTTTCTATTTTTATGTTACTAAAGTTGCAGTTCATATTTTGTTCATACGTTTTGTTACCCGTTATATTATCATTCATTTGATATATAATTTACACAATTTTAAACGGTTTATAAAATTATCAAATAATTGTATATATCATAATGACTTAAAAATTAAACTATAATGTTTAATAAAACTAATATGTTAACTATATGTTTGCTTTACTACTAACATTTTGTTTCAAAGTAGAAATATTAAATAATAATTTGGTAAAAGTTATTATTTTAACTATATAATTCTATTCTCGCGCAACGCGCGGGGATTCGCCTAGTTTATATATATAAGTGTGTACTTTTCTATTTTTTATACATTTAACAAATAAAACTTATAAAAACGGTTCAAAATATATAGATTATTACCATAGACATTTAAAACTTTTGGAAGAATTCCGTATATACCCTTATTAAACATCTAAATATCGTATTTGTCCAGTTTAAACTCTAAATATCATATTTGTCCTTCTTAGTGTTTTAAAATATCGGATTTGCCTAAATCTATTTTTTTAAACATTTTTTATTATTTAAGAATCATTTTTATATATTAAAATCAACAAAAATAAAAAAACATAACCAAATAGACCATAATACCTTTGCCTTTTAAATCACGGTAATCTACGATCAACTAAATCACATAACCCTTACGACGACTTATTTTTTTTGTTCCTTCTGCCAGTTCTTTTTCATAATCGAATAACCATGAGGTAATTTTATGTTTTGTATTTGTTAATTGATTATTCAATTCGTGGTTAGAACTAGGGAATCGATAGCTTCAATTTCGTGATCATATAGTATTTGCAATCGGCAATCAACAAATTGTTTTAATGGCTTTTTCTGTCGGTTAAACATTGAATGTGTATTGCAACTAATCAACTAATGTCTAATACGAATTCTTTGAGAATTGAACATTCTTTGTGAACTAGTGTGATTTGTGAAATATCCATACAACAAAAAACGAATTATGTTGATAAGACAAAAAAAATGTCTCATTGATAAAGCTTTTGTTGCGCACATAAGATAGCTAAGTAACTATTTCCCATACCCTAACTCTAGTTTAAACAACGGATGCACAAACTTTTATACAAAATATAGACTCTAACACCTATCCCTCTTCTTTATCAAGCATAAATCCATGTTCTTTATCATGCATAACAAGTATGAGGTGTACACTTTTGTACATATCCACCATGAAACACAAATTGAAACTGCAACACCTGCTGGTGAAACCTGTAATAGCTTTCTTTTTGTAACATATTCGGATTCCTAAAACATTCATAACAAATTCATTAGTCTAAAATTAATACATGGGTTTCACCAGGTCGAGATTCTTGTCTCATAAGTGTTGATTTACAAATCATTATTTGTGTGGTCTTCTGCTCCTCGTTGTATAATCTTCACCTGGTAATAATATTACGGAAAAATCTAAGATTGAGAAAGGGCAAGAAGGAGGATGAACTGTTTGTGTGGCATTCTGCTACTCGTTGTATAGTCTTCATCCGATAACAACATTAGGGCAAAATTTAAGATTAAGAAAGGACGAGAAGGAAGACGACTGAATTACAATTACATGCAGTTTATACTCTATTGGAAGAAGGAAATGGTGACAAGGCAAAAAGGAGGATGGAAAGGTTAATGTTGATGATGATCGTAAGGAAGCTGCGATTGATACCTGATCGTGCTGTTATGAGTTCCTGTCATTTTAGAAGGTAAGGGCAATATTGTCCATCTAATTTTTATTTTAGTTCTAATGATTTCAGAATATAAAAAAGAATTTATTAAATATTAAAAAAAACTATTAAAAATATATATTTGGCTAAATCCGATATTTTAAAGGCAAATACGATATTTACAGTTTAGGCTGGACAAATACGATATTTAAGTGTTTACCAAGTATATACGAAATTATTCCAAAACTTTACGGCTACATTTACGTACTTTTTTATTTTGTTTATACATTTAACCAATAAAACTTATATAAAATCTAACATTATGATTGCCAATTAAGGGATTTTCCGATTTCCATACATATTGAACAACTTTTCGTTCCATCCTTGGACAGCCGACGGTCAAAAAAATATGTTTTCACAAACTATTTAATAACAGAAGTTTAAAATGTTTATTAGGAATTAATTAAAAATCAAGTATTACAATTAAATAAATTCAAAGGAGGGTGTATAAGTATAAAATCATTTGGCTGCATAAACACACAGTCACAGTCGCACAAGCAAATTTGCTTTTTTATCCTCCTCCGGCGAAAGATGACCACGGACTTCTCAAAATCAGTAGACATCGGACTTAGGCTATCTAAACGTATATACTATGGAAAAGAGTACGAGCCTCGCATGTCTGCTCCGAAACCGGCGATAATGACCAAGTCATCCTCACCGTCACCATGTTCTTCCCCTCTGCCGTCGAAGCATCATCCAACGGCGCCGATGGTTTATGCGATGATTACTGAGCCTGATATAGTCGATAATCCAGATATCCGGAGCTACCAGCCTCACGTGTACGGACGTTTCAATCCGCCGGCGTTGATTCCTCTTCATATGTATGAGATTTCGATGAATATCGAGTGTTATTTGGACACTGCGTTTGTTACTGTTTCCGGCACTTGGCACGTCCATTGCGTCACTGCAAGTGCTTGCTGTGATTGCTGTATCGCGATTCCCATGGGTCAGCAGGTAGCAGTGATCTAGTTTCTTCAATATACGTGCCACGTTTCTTGTATCCTTCTAGTATGAAAGTTCCCTGATAAAGCACTCAATGATTTGTTTGACCAACAGGGTTCAATTCTAGACATCAAAGTTGAGAGCACTAAAAGATCATATTCTACAAAATTGATTGCTTCAGGAGATGAGAAAGATGATTCAGATCGAATAACCAAGGCAAAAGATGGGTTCTTGATGAAACGTAACACATACACATTAAGAATTCCTCAGGTTTTTCCTAAACCATTGTGCATGATGCTTTCTAATTCAATTTTTGGACAAGTTGACTTATTACTCAATGATGCTGAACTTTTCAAGGTTGATGGAGGATCCATTATCCATGTTAAAGTTAGATGGTCTCAGAAACTGGTGTATCAAGATAATGAATTCCACCTCAGTATACCTTTCAGTTTCCCCTCATATATTTTACCTTTGAAGAGCAAAATTCCTCAAATGGAGAAACTTCTGGTAAATGTGAACTCTGGTACTGGGACTGTGATTACATGCAGTTCTACTAGTCACCCTTTAAAGGTACACCATAATCTAACAACGTTCAAATCCAAATTAGAATTACATCTTTGTCCAGTTGTCAGTAGATCTTCCAAGGATATGTCAACATCGAGGGGTAATTTGTTTGTCCAAAATTGTCATTTAGATGAATTGGCGTTATTGTTTGGTCTAGTTAATCTTAATTAAAGATATCTTATTTTACATGTTGATCAAGGAGGTGAAACGACAGCCTGGGGAAGCGAGCTTCTCATACGAGGCAGAAGTTCTTAAATGGTCCACTCAAGACTTCTATTTTGCTTATTATGTAAGACCTTAATTTTTATGTCTCTATCAAATGGTTCAATTTCATTATACAGATTAGATTGATTGGTAAAATATTAACAAAATATCTGGTGTCTTTTTTGTTTCTTTTGAGGTATGCTCGAATGAGATTTTTGGTGGTCTGCTCCTGCATCATCCATCTCTACATGATTATGATCGAAGAGATATGTTTTGCTTTTATCTTTTTCCCGGGGCTAACATAATTAGAAAGGTTTGTGACCAATTCTAGGCACATTATTCGTTCATGTTCTTGATCTGTGATTAATGTGACTTTTTCCTTTTTCTTTTATTAAATTCTAATAGCATTTTCGAAAGGAAGTGGTGTTTCTATTGGACAAAAGTGGTAGCATGAGAGGTGTCCCTTTTGAGAAATCTAAACATGCGATTATAACATCCCTTTTAAAGCTTAATCAACAAGATTTGTTTAACATCATAGCCTTCAATGAAGGCATTCAATCATTCTCATCTTCACTGGAGTTGGCAACAAAAGAAACAATCAGAAATGCAACTGAATGGATGTGGAAAACATTGGTTGCAGAAGGAGAGACAAACTTGATGTGCCCATTGAAACGGGTGAATCTATACATTGTGTGATCTTGATAATATCTCATCAATTTATTTTGCTAAATGATATTGTGTGATCTTTATCTCTAGGCACTTGAGATGGTTGGTAAAAATGGTGAACTTATTCCTCTCATTTTTCTCATTACTGATGGTACTGTTGAAGATGAAAGAGAGATTTGTAATATGATGAAATTCAGCCATGTAGATGGAGGCTTGAGTTCTCCCCGAATTTTCACATTTGGAATAGGTGGCCTTTCATCTTAAAAAAAAAAAAAAAAAACAAAACTGTTTATGTTAATTCATTAACATGTTATTCTTTCCATTTCCAGGTTCATACTGTAATCATCATTTCTTGCCAATGCTTGCTCATATTGGAAGGGGATATTATGATCATGCATGTGATGTAGGTCAGTTTAATCAAAATTCCAATGAGCTTATAAAGTTATAGTGTGACATTATTGTTAAATTTCTTACTTCTTTTGCTTTTATTGACATTCTTTATATGCCAGATTTAATCGGTGATCGTTTGCAACGGCTATTTAATAATGCTTTGTCACCTTTGCTTGCAAATGTAACCCTTGATTCTTTAGAAACTCTCAAATCATATGAGGTGGCATTTCTATTTTTTTCACTTAAAATTTCGGCATTTAATTGGTTTTTCATATTTGAAAGTTACATTCTTTTACTACATTACTTTTGTTGCAGTTGTACCCATCTCGAATTCCAGATTTGTTATCAAGAAGCCCGTTGATTGTATCAGGTCGATACCAAGGCAAATTTCCAGAACTTGTGAAAGTTAGAGGTTTGATGACAGATCTAAGTAGTTATGTGATGGATATTAAAGTGAGAAAGACTTCAAACATTAACTTAGATAGAGTAATTATCTTTAACTATTGCCATGTAATCCTTGATATCTAATTACAACCACAACAAATATTCATCCGATGGTATCTTATTTTTGGTCTTTCTTCGTTACCAGATGTGTGGTATGAGGGAGGTGGATATACTGACATCACAGGCATGGTTAGACAAAAACATAGATACGGAGAAGAAGGTTGCAAAAATGAGCTTACAAAGAGGAGTTCCTTCTGAATATACTCGCATAATTCTAGTTCAGAAAGATAAAGTAAAGCCGACCACCCTCCTATCTCTTCTACTAGATGAGGTACAGGTATCATTGCAGAAAAACCCAAGTGGAAATCTTCATTTATCGAACTTTAATTAATGAAATGTTTATTGGATTGCAGAAATGTTCAAAATTGGGAAATGAGAAGGTGATATACCTGAGGAATCCATGTGTTGGATTTGGTAAATTAAAGGCTACTGCTGCAAATCTACCTCCAGGAATCGAAGACATAAAGTTAAACGAAGCTGCAAAAATGGTGGTGGAGGCTGCAACATCATGTTGGGGGATGTTCATCAATTCATGGTGTTGGAGGTGTGTCAAAAAGATGTGGTCTCAACTCAAAAGCGAGCATTGCACACTTGCTATCGCACAGATCTGCACTGCTCTTACTTGTCTTGAATGTCTTGATTGTTGTTGTGATCTGTGTGATTTGTGCAGCGCCCTGTGATAATTCTGGTAGACCATTTGGGCTATACTTTATGCCCATTGGATCATCATGAATATTACAAGTTTTATTAAATATCAGTATTCATGTTAGTTAACAAGAAAACTTAAACAGATTTGAAAAAAAATTTGTATAACATGCTTACAGATTGAAGACTACTACAAAAAAAGCTTATAGGACCCGGTTATTTCAATTAAAAAACCCGGTTTTGACCGGGTCCTAAAGCCAGCGAAAAAAAAAGGAATAGAACCCGGTTTTAAAACCGGTTGCTCATAAAACCGGGACATATAAGAGGAACATAACGCCCAATATTTGCTCATATATGAAGATTAGGAAGCGGTCCAACCATACAAAACCGGGTCATATATGGCTAAAAGAACTGCATTCTGTTCCTTTCACCGTGATCTTCTTATTGGAATATAGGAAGCTGCATATCCTTAAAATATATCCAATACAAAAGTCGTAAGATGATGTATTCCCAGGGTGCCTCCGACTCTCTATATTGTGTGAATAAATTGAAAGTCACTATAACCCAACAATGTTTCGTATATTGGTTTAAATGGTCTCTCGTGACATTTTTTTTGCCTTTGAAGGGTACGAACTTGTGTTTTACCAGTTAATTTCGTACCTTTACCCATTTATAAAGCTTACACTGCCCTGTCAACTGCCAACTAAGCAGGTGAGTCAACAATGACTCAGTATGACTCAGTAGTGAGTCGACTCATCGTTGCCACATAAGCCAAGAGTTATTACGCTAATTTAGTGATCAACTGCAACAACCTCTCTCTCTCTCTCTCTCACGAACCATTTTTTTTTGCTTCTCGTTACATACATCTTCAGTTATTCATCATATTTTGCAGCCATTGCCGCCTGCTTTTGCCGAGAAGTATTTAGAAAAAGACAACTACAAGAGAGCAACAGTTGTTCTCAAGAACAAATCTGTTGTTGAATGGAGTAGCAAATACGTTAAAATCAAAGACAAATACTACTTCACGGATGGATGGGTCAAGTTCATTAAAGAAAATCGTCCTCACATTTGCGACTTGCTTGTCTTTTCGCTTCTCTCTCCTCCTCCAAATTCAATCTTTCAAGTCATTTTTGTAAACTAACAAGTGAAAGACATATAACGGCTAGGGTTTCGTATTATTATCAAAGAGAAGTACAAATACAATGAAAGAGAAAGACATAATATATAGACTAAGCTAATTTAGGGTTTCCTAGCTAAAAGGCCCAATCATAAAATACAATACAAGATAAAACCCAAAATCTTATTAGGCTAACATCCCCCATCAAACTCACAATGCAACAGCATTAAGCATTGAGAGTTTGTCAGATAGAAAATGGAATCGAGGAGCAGTCAACGGCTTCGTAAGAATATCAGCAATCTGCAAAGAGGAAGGAACATAAGGAAGGGAGATAGTGCCCTTCTGGAGATGATGTCGTGTGAAATGACAATCGATCTCTATGTGTTTTGTGCGCTCATGAAACACTAATTCTTGGCAATCATTATCGCACTCTCGTTGTCACAACACAAAGGGGTAGGCTGAGAGATGTGAACGCCCATATCTACAAGAAGCCATCTCAACCAAACAACCTAACAAGTGATGATAGCCATGGCTCGATACTCAGATTCTGTAGAAGATCGAGAAACAACATCTTGTTTCTTGCTTTTCCATGATATCAATGAATCTCCAAGAAAAACACAATACCCAGTAGTGGAGTTACAATCATAAATATCACTATCTCAATTTGCATCACTATAGGCCCGCAGCTTAAGAGAGTATGTAGATGGAAACATATGAGTGCGGACGTGAGTACCACGTAGATATCTCAAAATACGAAGAACAACTCCCCAATGAACAGTAGCAAGAGCAGTGACAAACTGGCTAACCACATGAACTGCATGAGTAATATTCGGTCTAGTGACAATCAGGTAAACGAAACTCCTTACAATGGTACGATAAAAGCTTGGATCTGATAATGGGCCACCATCAGTTGGAGAGTACTTTGCATTACTCTCTATAGGCGTATCAACTGTCCGATTATCCGTGAGTCGTGCGCATTCAAACAAATCTGAAATATACTTCGTTTGAGATAAAAGATAACCCTTTGGAGACTGAGTAACTTCAATCCCCAAGAAATAACATAGCAAAACCAAGTCTTTCATAGCAAACCGGTGAGCCAAATCATGCATTAAAGACTCTATACCATCATGATCATCACCAATAATAATCATGCCATCGACATATAAGGAAAGAATAATCCGTCCTGCATTCGTACATCAAATAAATAGAGCCGAGTCATGGTTACTTGGTTGAAAACCAAGCGAAGTAATCACCGTATAAAATTTCTCAAACCAAGCACGAGGGGCTTGTTTGAGGCCATATAGTGCCTTCTGAAGTCGACAAACTTCACCTGGTTGGTGAGCAATACCAGGGGAGGAGACATGTATACTTCCTCATGAAGATTGTCATTCATGAACACATTCTTGGCATCCATCTAATAAATCTTCCATTGGCGAATGGAAGAAACTGCAATCAAGGTGCAAACAGTCGTCATTTTTGCAACACGAGCAAACGTCTTTCTCATAATCCATACCATACTTTTGCACGTACCCTTTCGCAACAAGTCTGGATTTATAACGCTTAACGGATCCATTAGACTTTGTTTTGATTTTACATACCCAACGACAACCAATCGTGTGCTTTCCGGGCGGAAGCAGAACCTGATCCCATGTATGAGTCTGATAAAGAGCTGCAAGTTCCTCAGCCATAGCGGCCTGCCAAAGGGGATCAGAAACGGCCTCTTTGTAGGATGTTGGCTCAGAGAGACGATGTACATTGACAATAAAGGAGGAAAACACTGGTGAGTAAGAGGAATAGACAAAGTCAGGAAGCTTTGTGGACTTCTTATTACGATAAGGTCTCGATGGAGGGGGGGTCTTGATGATCTACAGGCATAAGATCAGCTGCAGGTAGTGGATTAGTTGCAGGTGGTGGATCAGCAGCAGGTGGTGGATCAGTGACATGTGGTGGATCATCAATGTCAATGCTAAACGGATCAATAGTACGAAGCTCCTCTCGGGTTGCATCATGTGACTGAACATGAATGCTATAGAATGGAATATGTTCCAAAAAAGTGACATTGCGAGAGACATACAGTTTCTGATTTGAAGGATCATAGCACCGATAACCTTTCTGACCAATACCATATCCCAGAAAAACACAAAGAGCTGATTTTGAAGACAACTTATCTCTCTTTACATGAGGCTTCAAGACAAAACATGTACACCCAAACACTCCTAATGAAGAATAATCTGGAAGTTGTCCAAACAACATTTCTTAAGGAGACTTCCCCCCGAAGTGTACGCAGTAGGAATTCGATTAATAACATAAGTGGCGGTATGAACAGTTTCTCCCCAAAACATATTGGGAACTTGAGCAGAAAGTAGTAAGGATCTTGCAGTTTCTAGGAGATTTCGATGTTTTCTTTCTGCAACACCATTCTGCTGAGGAGTGTCTGTACAAGATGATTGATGTATAGTGCCATCAGATGTCAATAATTGTTTAAAATCATTGGAGGTAAATTCTCCTCCCAAATCACACCGAAAACATTTTATGACAACAGAGTGTTGAGTCTTGACAAGAGCTCTGAATTCACTATATATTGTGAAAAAGTCAGACTTGCGCTTCATAAAATAAACCCACGTATAACAAGTGTAATCATCAATGAATGAAACATAATAGTTAGCTTCTGATTTAGAGGTGATTGGAGAGGGACCCCACACTTCACAATGCACGATATCAAAAGGAGCAACAGAACGAGTGCCACTTTTATTAAACGGTAAAGCAAAAAATTTTCCCAGTTTACAACCACAACAATAAAAAATATCATCAGTTTTCAAAGAGCCTAACACACCAGTGGAAACCAAAAACTGTAAACGATACGCTGACACATGTCCCAAACGAGAATGCCAAAGATAAAAAAACAGACGACGAAGGGTTTAAACGAAAAGACGACAAATCGACACTGGAGGCAGCAACATCAGCAACATGTAGCTGCTCCAAAACATAGAGCTCCCCAAATCTACGGTCTATCCCCAATCACCCTCCGAGACCGAATGTCCTGTACACAGCAGAATGAATCAGAAAAGAAGACCCAACAACCAGATTTACACAACTGACTGACCGATGCAAGATTCAAAGCAAGTGTGGGAAGGTAATACACATCTGTTAAAGATATATATAAGGAGTGACAATAGAACCAACACCCTCTACTGACATGGGTGTAGCACTAGCATACATAATAGTGACAGGTGTACGAGAAGGTAATGAAGCAAAAGATGAAAAATGTGGTGACATGTGATAAGATGCACCAGAATCCAATTTCCACAAGGATGAAGGAATACCTGACGTGTTGGATGAAGACATACCTGAATGAGACATGGAAGCTGACATGGCAGTTGGATTGAAAGCTATGAACTGTCTGAACTGCTCAACAATCTGTGGATCCAAGGCTGATGGTGGTATAAAATCTGTTTCATTCTCAACTGAAGGTGTAGCAGCGGCGTATTGTGGTGGCCTAAAAGATGGATGTAGGTCACCTCTGTTTGAGAGCTCTATCAAAATTGTACTTGTAACCTCTGTTTGAGAGCTTTGAAATAAAGAATACTCCCCTCCTGCATGTGGACGTAGGTCACCTTGACCAAACCACGTAAATACTGTGTCTTGTGTGCTTATAGTTTTGCTAGTTATCCGCTTTATTTCCTATCAATTTATTAAAATATATTTTATATTATTCAATAAATATAATTATATAATAGTAAAAGAAATTAATAATTTTTGTGTTATCAATGTGATATGAATTTCATATTAATAATTTATCATAAATTATAATTAAGTTTTATTTATATAAAATATATAGAGTTGGGCCTATAAGCACGTCACTAAATCGTTAGTTGTGTTCGATCTCTCCATAATTTAATGACACAATCGCATATTATATTATGATAGATCTGTTAATACCAAATTTCGATCTCGTATGAAAATCGTATTGGAACCGATATCGAACCATACCAAATTTAAACATGGAGGAGGCAGGTAGCCTCAGCAATGGATTGAAGCAAGTATCCTTGATCTGGAGTTAGCCACACTATTTGTCCCCTAGAATGAAAAGGGCTTACTAAGAGTAGCAACTTAGGTTAGGTTTATATACATGTGCATT